GACTAGAAGTCAAAGCAATGCAAATATAATCAAAATGGATGCAGCGAAAGAAACCTGGGTTGATCCTTGTGTACAACCCCTGTTTAGTGGCAGGTCCAAGTGAACGTGAAGCCCTAAAATGCATCATCATAATTCCTTTGACAGGTCTGACTGCTAGTGCTGGGATGGTGGCTAAATATGGGATCAAGGAAACTTTTTCTGCGTGATAGCTTCAGATTTTCTGTTTCAACGTCACATTGATGATGCTTATAGGAGATTTTGGTTGGTAGTGTTCATCAGTGTCCACCTCTTCAATTTCCTGTGGAGAAGAAAATTGCATGGTAAATGGTAAAACAAACAAAATTAGTTAACACATTAAACTTGTCGAATTGGAGTTCTTGGAGATACGTGTCAGTAAAAGCAAGAAATTCACCAGGTATCCCTATCCTCATCCAATTTGGCATGCATTATTCCACATTGGAGTATTATTTGGGAAGAAAAGTTCTAGAAACTCGTGAGTCAAAATATTAGCATACCTGAAGAAATTCATGCCAAAAATCTAATTATGATGATGGCTCCTCTATAGTCTAGACATTTTTTAGAATTTTTGAATAAGCTAGTAAATCCTGTTAATCCAGGGCTATGAAGTATAACCTTCAGCAACAAAATGTGTTACTTGTTGCCTGCATCTATAAAAGAGTCCACATTGGCCATACCATATGAAAAATTGTTACCAAATTCACAGGCAGATTATCACAAACATGAATTAGAGTTTGAATGTCACCTGCACGACATCTTCTCCCTTAATGACTCTTCCAAAAACAATAAGCTTTTCATTTAGATCTGGGATTGGTGCAGTTGTAATGAAAAGCTCAAACCCTCTGTTATTGGGGTTTGCCTTCGGAGTTCCTAGCATGAACGCCTCATGCTTCAAACTGGTTGATCACAGAAATTATTCAGTATGAACAACCTAACTTTTGATGGCATGATATATCAAGTGAGAAAATTGGAAAAAAAAAAAGAAAAAAAGAAGAAAAGAAGGGATGCAGTGTTAGTAAAATGTAGTGACCTCGTATCAAGTTGAGCATAATGCTTTCCTTTCAAAGTCCATTCTTCTGTTGCTTCCAGACGATTGATATCTCCTGCCTGAATCACATAATGCTTTATTACCCGATGAAAAGGCATCCCCTTGAAGTGCCCTTTTTGACTGCAGAGCCAATCGAATTCAGATTGTGTGAGGATGGTAGTAGTGGGATTATCTTATGACTTGGCACAGATGAGCCAGTGATGGCATTTAGTAGCACAACATTTGCAGCAAATAAAGGATGCATTCCAAGATGCTAATAGAATTCGCAGCTAATAACTTGACATGGAAATATAATAAATAAATCCAATTAAGAATTAGGATTTAGAATCTAATTATCCTCTTTAGCCTTAAATTTTCAGTTATCCATTGATATAGGGAATACATTCAACTTGAAATTGCATACAGTATGTTCAACCTGCCTGCGAAACAAACAAATATTTGTATATACAGTATCTATGTATATAAATCTATAAATGGAAACTAATTCAGAGTATTCCGTTTTATTGAGCTTTCTAAAATCATAGGGTAAAACTAAACCAGCAAAAGCATTACCATAAATGCCATCTACATTCTGTTTACTTCAGTTCAAATTTTAAACTAAGGAAATTTATGATTTTCCTAAATAAAGAATTAATTATCAAGATTTCAAGTACAATCCACAAGTTTCTGAAAATATGAATTTCCAAATAATATAATGTCTCATGAAAGATAAAGGGAGACATCAACATCAATAATACCAAGCGGTTCCAGAACTTACCATAATTCAATGAATTGATCGACCACTTCAGGAGAACTATCCTTGAAAAGTTCCACCGCTATGGAGCCTTTTGCAGTATCTAGAATCTAGTCATAAGAATGAAAGATTGCCAAAATAAAAATTATATGAAATAGTTTGTAGCTGAGTCAATGGATGAAATTCATTTTTTCAAGAATATTTTCATAGAAAAACTAACACAAGCAGTCAAATAGACGGTGCAGGTTAATTTCATTGTCTATGCAAGACTTCCCCATCTCTAAAATTTGAAAACTATGTCTTAAACAAGGATTTTTCTCCAGTTGAATATAAAAGATGACAGAGCCTCCCAAGTAAGGACTAGATGCAATTAAAGATATTGATATAAATAACCCACCACAGAAATTTTTCTTGAAGTGAATGAAGATCCATATCAGGCATGAAGTTTACCAATCCAGTTACATGCAATACTCTTTTATTTCTTTCTTCTACTCATAGAAGACAAAATGCTCATAACAACCAATAGGATTTGCAGACATTTCTAGTCCTGTGATCTAAATTGGCATGCATTTACCTAAGGCTATAACAGTAACCAGCATACTTTGCAGTAGCACTCCAAACCAGACTACAAGGAATCAACTTCTTGTTATTCCTAAAGAAATAGAGCAGCTCAGCAAAAAAAGAAACTTACAGCATATCCAGGGGGATCAGATTTCTTCAGATCCACAGAAGAATTATCACCCTAATATACAAAAAGCCCCAAAATCAGTGTCAGATATACTGAAAAAATTGCACTAAGGGAAAATAATTTTTTCCTCAGAAAAAAGCATCATAGATATATAATAGCCACGCAAAATAGATCGATTATAATACAGCTTAAACTGCCAAATAAACACAACATAAATCTGATGATTGCATCATTATTAATAAAAAGACGAAAGAGTTAAAATTGTGATAGCCATGAAAAACATTGCACAATAAGGTTCTTCACGAGACTATACCTCAAACGCTGCCTTGTTCTCCATTTGGATTCCTGACCTAATGACAACATCAGCAACTAAAATTTAATAACCACTAAATGAAGCTACAAATCAAAGCAGCATTAAATTCTCGTTTCCACACTTTTCAGTGTTTAAACAATTAAGTATGCATCGAGTCCACACAAACTGCATTTAATCGAGCGTTCAAGTACAAACATTTCACAAACCTTTGAGACCAGTTTCTATATGTAGTATAGAGGAAAAACACAGTCAACACAACAATCAAGCTGGAAAGTATAATGGTCGTGAGACTTATCCGATTTGGCCCCTTCTTCTTTTTGCTTTGCTGTAGCAGAGCGTGAGGTTTGATCCTTGCCATGAAGTATAGACTTCAGTTCCAAGAATGCCTAAAGCTTAATACAGAAAAAACTAATATTAAACTCCAACTCCATCCAAGGCACAGATCAAGCCAAAAAGCAGCATATTAAACTTCAATTTTTCCCACAAAAAATGAAAGAAAATATTAATAAAAATAATATGATCCTGAATTCAACTTGAAAGCTCTAAGTATAGAAGATAAAAAGCGACTAATATCAAATTCGGATCCAAAGCAACCAAGAATCTTCATTTGCAACATTTAACAACGATGAAATGAACGTTTAAAAAACGTTGAAATTGGCTATAAGATCTAGAAATCCAATTACATACAAACAGCTTGAGCCGAAGTTACGTTATCAGAGTATGAAGGGTGAGGAGCATGAGGAAACTGTTAATTTTCCCGGAAATCATGAGGAGAATCTTGCGGAGAAAGTGAAGGAAAATACTGGTATGAAATTTTCGCATCCGAAATCGGAAATTGAGAGTTAAAGTACCTGTGATTCCTGGAAGCCTCGTCGCTTTCCTGGATTCCGATCTCTTCAAGTTCCAGAGGAACGTATACAATTCTCCAACTTCGCTTTTCTCTGTGTTTAAAATTGATTTTTATTTTTTCCGCACTGAAGAAATTGTTAGAAAAAAAAAATTGAAGAAATTGACAGATTTTGGGCTTTATGGGTTCTGATTTTATCGAATAAGCCCATTTCTTAGTTCACATTATACTTTGAGCCTTTGATGAGTCCCATAACATTAGCCCTCCTTTCCTAATTCTCTTACCATTCGTCCAAGGATTTCTCCAACAAACTTGCAATGGAATTTACATACAAATTTGTTTTTGTAATTTAAATTGCATTAAATTTTATAATTTAAATTATTATATTAGAGAATAGGAGACATTGGAAATAATAGTTCTATTTTACAATCAAACAATAAATAACCAACAACTTATTGATCTAAATAAAAAAGAATTAGTTTTTTTTAAATAAAATTTCAAATTTAAATCTTGTGAATGAAAAAAATAAAATAAAATAGCTTTTTTTCTCATAGAACTTTCCCTCTCATATAATTCAATGTAACTTTAAATTAGGTAACATCCAATATAACTATTAAATAATAAGAGAATTCGTACAAAAAAATCAAATTACTAAATAGAAAACTCATAAACCTTCTTAGAATTTTCTAATTTTCCTTTTTTTTTTGTTTTTTTTTTTGACAAAAGTAATTGTTAGTAGTTAAATTAAGAATTGTTAGTAATTAGAGATTCGAACCCCAAAACAGGTGATCTTTCACCTCCATTGAGACACACGACCCATCGGACTAGATGGTGGAGTTCTTTAATTCCCCTTCCTATTATTGAAATAAAGGAAGATTTCTCATTTCCCTTGACTCCATTTTTTGCCACCCAAATATGATGATGACATCTCCTCGAAGACATAAGGTTATTTCGGGGGGAAGAGAGATTAATTTTTCTTTTCTGGCCATAAAAACTGAAGAAATCATAGAACAAAAGAATCTTGAATAACTGATCAAAATTGTTTCCGGCATGAAAACCGTCGAACTACAGAAGAAGCTCTTACCTTTCACATTCAATACCAGCATTTGGGTCAAATAAAAGAACTGCTGGGGATTGTTTGTCTTTGTCGTGGCCGAAATAAACCTACTGTTCTTCACTATAAATAAATTAATCGATTTACTAACTCTTTTCCTGCTACCATGTACTAATAATCAACAGTAGGCTGTATTTCACATGAACTCAACATCGTATTCCTGTTGTTCAAGGACAATGGTAGCCAAAGCAAGTCTGTATGCAGATGATCTAAGGTTTCTAACAAGGACATATATCTCTTTCCTCCTCTGCTTGACCTGCATCCCTTTCCACTGTTCCTCTCTTAGACGAGCAAGCAAGGCTGCCTCACAAAATGCCTCTGCCACTAGATTTTTGCTGCAGATAAACATGTATACGTTTAAAGTTTACAATTTAAAGAGGACAGAAATATATAATTCCTCAAAAGAAAATCTGAATGTCAGTTAGCAGACTAACCACCCTCTAACAAATCCAGTTGTCACGAAACCGATTGGCCACCTATAAGATTCTCTAGAAGTAGGATCCTCGGATTGCTGGAGTTCCCACTCACCAGAAGATTGCTCTTTAAAGTATGAGCTCACAGAGGACTGAGACATTTTGAGTCTACCCTCATTGCATCCTGAGCTGCAATATATACAAATTCAAGGTGTAAGAAATCAGACAAGGTATTTCCCGTGCAAGGAGGTGTAATTGACAAAACAAAATGCAATCTCCTTATAAGAATTTCATGGAATCTTGGAATCATGCAAAACCATACAGTTTTCACTCATAATCCACAATAAAGAAACTTTATTGAGTATTACCTTGAAGTCCACAAAGATATATCATTGAGACAGGGGGCACATACTACTGCTCCCTCTTCAAAGACACCCTCCTTGTATGCATGGAGATGAACTCTCAAAAAACAAAGCTTGCAATTTTGACTTATTTGTCTAATCTCATCAGTGTTCTTGCTAAGCAAGCTTTCATCTTTCATAAACTTCAAAAGACTATTGTTTCTGTTAGAAACATGGGGAAATAAAAGCAATTGATCAGCATAGATGCTGTTCAAGAAGTTGTTCAGTCTATTGGATGTCCTTGCTATAATTCCATCAAATGAAAGACTACATGCTGCATCACGTTTTTCATAACTCAATCCTGTAAATGAATCCCCATCAAACCTATTTTCCTCACAAGAAATTTGAGTGTCTTGTAATCTGATGGATACTTTGTCAAAAGCAGTACGGACAACATTCCATGGGGATGGAATGGGAACTCTTAAAGGTCGAACAGCAGGAGGATGCTTTTCTGCATTTTGCATAAAGGCAGCAGCTTCAATTTCCTTAAGGGATAAGTATGCATTGCAATCAGGGAAATCTGAAGGAAAATGTGGCAACCCAATCTGCAAAAGCTAAATTATATCATCCAATGTTGCATAATTTGTTAATCAAGAGTGAGACTTAAAGTTCACCACTTACTTCACAAGCAATCCAGCGTTTCTCCCTCTGACCAATTGTGCGGGCTCCTTTGGAGACAAGAAAAAGCCAGAAGACTCTGACCCAACTTAAAGGGAGTATAACAGACCATCTAAAAGACAACAGAAAGGACACATATCAGTGATAAGGTCTAAGAAAGACTTTGTGGTCCATGACAGTAAATAGAATATATTTTGCTCAGAGTATCACAGATAAAAAAAATGGCATCAAAAAGACCAAGGAAAACTAACCCAAACTACCTGGTCTATAAGAGTCATTAAGGGCCTATGGCAGCATAAGAAAATGTTGACCAATTGATACTAGAAAAATATCTCATTCAAGCAGCATGTACCAAACAAAACATGCCAATCCTAGTTCATGGTAAACATTCAGGTAAAAACTTTGTGCCGAAAAAAGAAACAATGAAAACAAGTAGTGCAGTGGTCACACACAATGTTAGCCTTCAATGAACACTGTGCTTGGAGCAAGCAATGAAGGCTCTATCTTTTTTTGGTGATCCTGGTGATGCACCTGATTATATAGTATCCAATATTCAAGGCAAACATTAGAAGACACAGAAGCAACAGGCAGAAGTATGCAACACCAAATGGATGGGGATTAAAAAAGAAAAAAACTGTAGTTACCGTGAACACAAGTTCTTTTGGTTATTGTTTTTCAGAATCACGATAGGGCAAGATCTTGAGCAATGCACCTTGTTTGAAGTCTTCAGTGTCCCTAATTTTGAATTATCAAGGCAGAACATATCCATCCGCTGTTGGTGCCTCTCCATACAAACTACATGTTCCTCCTCTGGGGGACTTATTCCACTGCTAGCATCCCATAAATTCTTCTCATTGGATGAACCGTAGCTTATTGTAGGTTCTTGCCATGCGATTGATACTAACTCTTCATTTTTGTCAGAAATTCCAGTTACAGTAGCATGTCTTTTGGATTCAACTACCCGTATTTCACTGGTTGAAGCTGGTCCAGGAACACCTCCAGTTATTTTATCTAGAAAGGAACGAGGATCCTTGACAGTAAAAGATAAAACTGCACAAGACTGGACATCTTCCTCATTTTCAGGTACAAAGAAGCTCTTAACTGCAGAATCATTATCAACCTTCGCAACAGAACATTTTTGCAATTGCCAAGAATCCTCTGAATTGCTGCAGCAGAAATCAGTTTGAATAATATTATTATCCCAGTTAAAAATGGTTGATTTCATCTTCCTCTAGATAACTCACCTATTAACAGGATGAAATGTTTTCTTAAGCAGCTGAAATGCCTTTGGTCCAATTAACTCCAATTTTGCAAGTTGCCCTTCACGTGAAAAACAATTAATCACAATCCCCCTCTCATTCATCTGCATGATAATTAAACATGGAAATGAGAAGATAAAATATAAACAGCATCCAATAAAGAGATTGGTGATCCTTCTATCTTAAATTCTATGTGATACTAACTGCAATATTACAGCAAGAAACAAATAACTTTGTTCAAATCTCCTAGGTAATCTCAAATTGTAAGAAGCAATATAAGTCTTAACTTGCTTTCATTAAGATTTGCAATATAAACTGTTTTTACCAAGACTATAGAAGGATCAGATTACCTGTTTTTCACAAGCAAACTTCAGAGCATCATATCCCTCACTAAAAGCCGAGGCATGAATCCAGAGCCAAAGCTGACGAAAGCACAAATGACACTCAGATTGATCTGACTCATTACATTCGACAGAATTATGGCTATTACCATCACCCTGTGTATCAGTCTCGTGAGGTTGCCACATATAGGTCACAGGAGCTATTGGCTGTGAATGAGGTGCTCCAACATGATGAAGCTGAAACTCAACATATCTAAATCAGAAAATCCGAGCATACTAAATGCTACCCAAAGGGGACAATGGCATGACCTACCATAGCAGTTCTATAAGTAAGACCAGAAAGAATTGAACGAGACGCATTTTCAGATAGGGCTGGTGGCGAAGGGGTCAGAACCATCTGTAATACCGCCATCAATGAATCCTGGAATCATATAACATAACTAACCATATTAGCCTATGAATTGTACCCATCTTTCAACGGATTCAA